GGGGGGTGGTCCCTGCTAGTTGGGCAACAGGAGAGCTTTAAGTAGCGGCAGGCATTGGCAGCCCTACACATTGACCCCCAGACACACGCACCATATCACGTATGTCTGTGAAGATTTCTTCATTGGTTCCTCTCTCTATGTGCGTGGCTGCTGTTTTGGCAAGGCCTCACCCCTGTCTGTGCACCAAAATGACAGGCTCTTGGATGATTCTCTCTCCATAGTCGACTTATTAGCACTCGGACACCTTGGCTACTGGCACCCATTGATGACTGTGCTTTTTTTTTTTTTTTAACCTCTCTAAGTTTTAATTACCACTTTCCCCCTTTATTTTCTTATTCGGTTTTGGTTAGTTTTACTTGCCTGCCCATCTTTATTTCATGCCATATGTTGTGTGGTTGACACAGTAGTTCTCAATTATCTGCATTGCTTTAAGGCTTTTCACTTCACTTAACTCCACCATGTTTATTCATATGTTGTGTTAAAAGACTAGCCATGAAAATGGAGGTATTCACACCCCACAAACCATTCAGACCCAGGGCCACATGCTGGTTTGCCGTTCATTACATACCGGGCCACTGGCAGAAAATTGTACTTTGTTTTGTGCTGCTAGTTTGTAGTAAAAGTGGATCATTACACCTGGTAATCGGTTCCTTTCTTAACATTTATTTATAGTTACATTGTAAAAATGTCTTCTTTTATATTAAAATCAAATATGTTTGCCTGTACCACTACACCAGGTGCCACTGTTTGTCCTATTGCCCACACTGGCAATGATAAACACTTTGGAGATAGTAATATGTGCAATGATGAATGGTTGACAGACAAATGAATATTATTGCACTACCTCTGCACTGGGCTGCTGCCCAGCTGCTGTATTTACTCTGAGAAATTTCCCACACCTTTGCTATTTTCAACATTGACTATTCACACTGTTGAGACTGAAATCCAGTCAGCCTCATTCTTAGCTATACTGACCTTCAATAGATTGGCTACTCTGTAAATGAATTAAACATTGATCTCTTTGAAATGTTAAACTTGTAGTTACACTTGGCCCCACTGGGTTCATCAGACAAGCTTTAGCTTAAAGGGTGGTAGTTTTGATAATGATCCCCGTTTGGTTAATCACTGAATCAATTACAATAATTATGATCGATTCTTTAGGAACATGAGATTTGAAGGTACTGTGAAGGTCTCTGTGAACCCATAGCACCATCCTTAAATACATTAAAAAATTCCATGCTCCTAGCTCTACTGGCAGTGATGATATAACTGTGATGGATTACTTACTGATCATTGTCCTGTTTCTGCTGGTTCTGTTGTCACGTTATACCGATGTGACTGAGCAATATGATCAAGGTGGAACTACAAGCTCTGTTCAGCAGTTTTAGTTTTGTCCAATACCTGGACCTGTTTGCAGGAAGGTGTATGATTTAGGTAAAGGTGATGCTTATTCCCAGCTTCCAAAGTGGCCCCTCAAGGTTTTAGGAATTCTGAGGAGTTGTGGTTTTAATTTTTAGACTTGGACATGCTGCAGTCTGTGGCGCTATCTCTGAGGTGTTGTTTCAGGGAATATAGTGACAGCTGTTGTCTCCGCTCCAAACCTCAGCAGGGAACAGGCAGCATCCCTCCCCAGCCAAAACTGACACTACAGGCTTGGGTCCAACTACACAGCTTCCCTCCCTTAGCAGCCGTTCGCTCTGTGTAGATTGACTTCCTTTTCCGTGGAGGACCAGTGGAAATTTCTAGAATAGGATTGTAAGGGCAAAGTAACTGCAGTTGGAGAGAGGTTAACTTCTCATCAGTCTTTGTTTAGCACCGTTTGTGGTGTCGTGAGTGTATTGTAACACATGAATTGCATGTAGAATGTGAATGTTTGCACCACAGTTTTACCATAAGGATGCGATTATTGATGCATCAGGAAATTGGCCTCAGTGCTGAAGCACAGAAGATAAAATGTTTCAGACAACAGCTATTTCTCTATCTTAAAGTAAACAGACCAGCTTTGCTGGATTTTGCAGTACAATTTCAAGTTGCTTTCATTTCTATTTTATTATTATTATTTTGAATTGTAAAATGACGACCTCACTTTACTGTAGTGGAGTTGTATTTAATGAGACTTTTAAAGCAGCTGCAGATTACATGACTAATATTTATATTACTGTACAAATACGAATAAATAACTTGATGGCACTAGTTGACAAATTAGAAGAATCTTCTTTATTTAATGCAGTAAAATTTTCCACTTGGTCAGATGGTTCTACCAAGTTCTTTTCTGACATATGGTCTTTTGTTACTTTGAGCATCTTCTGGGCTGGTAAAGTAGTGACGGAGCATTTCTCCTGAATTATAGTGCACCCATATTGTCAGTGCGCTTGAGATGCCTAGAGCTACGTAATACACATAGGAGCCAGTACACAAATTATAGTGTCTCCTGTGTGAGCTAACACAATGCAGCAGACTTCAAGTCACTATGGAGCCTTTACCAAAATCAAGGCCCCTAGTTAAACAGTGTAATTAACTGTATAAAAGTGTCAGTCTGCGCATCTTGGGGCGACTGTGGTTCAGTGGGTAGAGCAGTCGTCCCCAACCTGAGGGTCGGGAGTTCGAATCTTGGTGCCTGCAGTCCACGTGTTGAAGTGTCCTTGGGCAAGATACTGAACCCCCAAGTTGCCCTCGATGGTTAGAGCCATCGGTTGAGTTGGCGCCGCACATGGCTACCTCGGTTCTGTACCTAAAACAAATTCCTTGTGTGTAACATACTTGGCCAAATAAAGGTGATTATCCTTATCCTTCCACTAACTGTATCACGATTGGAGACACGTTAGTTCATCCTCTGCACCATCTTCTAGTTCCAGGAGCAACACTACATACACTGTTACAAGGAATCCAAACTAAACAAACATATGCTCACTGAATCCCTACTGTGACCTGTTATAAAAATGGTATTAAGTGGGGGAAAAATGTGAATGAGTGCTAGTAGCATTTAGACATTCTACAGCCAGCATCTGGCCGGTCTCTGCTTCTCGCTTTAAATGATATGCTAACCCATTCAGCTGGATGTTTCTGTGAGAGTGTGAGGAAAAAGATGAGGGTAGTTCTCCAGACCTCTGCTATTACTGTTGACCTACTGTGTGTGTGTGTGTGTGTGTGTGTGTGTGATGGTTAAAATGAGGTATATTTGCTTAGTTTGCACAGTTTATTGACCAGTCACATCTAAAGCCAGAAGTATTTTATAGCTGTTCCAAATGACCAGACTGGAAGATGGGCTGAAAATCTTGCTGCCATAGAGATGATTGATCAAATGAGGATATCTGTGCAAACATTCCAGTCTTTCCCCAGTGCAAATTATGGTGCCACACACACACACACACACACAAAATGATCTTATCTGTTATGTAAAAGTAGTTGTGAGGAGGAAAAGAAAGGAGTTTGAGAGGGAATTTCAGATCTCCCCTACTTTTTCACCTTGCACACCCAGTTGTCATTTTGCTGCATAAAATGAGCTTTTGATTGTCGGGGAGGGGGAGGGGGCTTCAGGTGCTGATTGAGGTGTGCTTCTTTTGGAGTATACTGACCCTGTATATCAGCTCTTGGGTTGCATGTGTCTCCCAAAGCTACTCTTAGCGTGGCACACTTGAACGTCACTGGTCATTTTTCCTAAACAGAACATTCAGTTAGCAATAGCATGATGGGGTGTGCACTAATCTGCAGCAAAATCAGCTGTCATGAAATTATTTGTCACTATCTATTTTCCTGTTCATCTCACACTCCATCTCAGTGTCACTCAATTGTCACTGTCTACACTTTATTGTGTACATAATATATCATACACAATCTATATAATGTCAACATTTTTCTTGTTTTATTCATGTAGAACACATCCAGCACTTCTTGTTTGAGCCCCTCTTATTTCTGAACACTGAATGTCATCTTTAGACAGCAGTGACTGAGGAAGGTTCATCAGCTGTAATCTATTAGGTGGATTATGTGTAGAGTTGTAGTTTTCACTCAACTCTACCTGCATTAAGGATAATTTTTTTTTGTCTGGCTGTCTGGAATGCATGTAGTTTCCTTTTAATTCAATTTCAGCACTTAAGAATTGATTATACCAGGAGAAGTGTCTATTTTTTGTTTTACAGTTGCTCTGGCCAGCCAGCCAGATAACCTATATTTTCTTTGTACATCCAGCTTTTTCCATCCATATCCTTTTTTATTTTTTTAATAAACCATTAATCTATCCACACATTTCTGCGATCCCCCCGTGTCAGCATCCCTGCAGCTTTTATGAAAAACACTGAGAATAATTACCTGTGTGCTACTTGCACTTTGACAGTCTCTGGCTCCCCTACTGTCTTCCTGGTTTAGACCCCATCCCTTTTTTCCTCCCATCTTGTGAAGAGCGAGCTCAAAATCCAGAGAGAGAGGGTTGGAAAGAACAGAAGCAAATGTAGAGAGAAAGTGAGAACAAACTCGCCATGGGTAAGGGAGAGAATCAGTGTGAAAGACAGATGGAGGGAGATATAAAGTGGAAGGCAGGTGCTTAGTTAGCAGCAGAGCTTGCCGTCAGGGATGACCTTAAGCTCTGTCATACAACTGAAATGGGATCTTTGCAGCCTCCTGTAGCCTCAGTATAGATGCACACCAGAAATTAAGGTAGAGTGGATATGTCTTAAATATTTGTCTGCCAGTACTGCTGTACTGCTTTGTTTACTCCTGCTTTTAAGAGGTCTTGGGGTTCTTTTTTATTCTTTGAACCTGTTCTTTAAAGCAGCATTGAGTAAAGTTCTTTATAAATAAAACACATTATTATTATTATTATTTTAATTTATCAGATAATTATAATGACTGGGGAAAAAAAATAACCTGAACAGGTTTCTCCCTACCAGCAAGTAAGTTGTGAATAGCTTTACATAGCAGTGTGTACTATAGCTAGGCTTAGCAGTATGTATTCTTTTGTGCTGACTTTCAGTGTGTGACAAACATAAATTGAAGTAATCGGTTCAATACAGTGAGCATTCAAAATGGAATTTTTCATGGATGTAAAATTAAGAAACAACAGTAGGAGATTTAGAGTACTACCTATAAACCAAACTTAGAAAAGACCAGAACTTGCCATTGTACTTACTGTTCTACTCTTAACATTCTATTTTAGTATTAAAGGGGTTTCATTTGTGAGGGCCATATGTGGTGTTAATTTTATCAACTGTGGTTTTAATATAGGTCAGAAGTATATTCCAGAGGACCTACGGGGAGGTAGTAACGCTGTGCCCTCCAGGAGAAGAAGACCGGAGGAGCTTCTTCTCTGACCTGCTGCTGGTCCAAGCGACCAGGCCTCCACCACGCTACAAGAATACAGGTACTTGTATTCGCTTGCATACACTTGCAGGATTTTATAGTTCTTGCTCATCTCTGCTATCAGTCCTAGAGGGCAGTGTTGTCTGTTGTTCCCACCTATTTAGATGTGGTGAACTGTAGAAAAGCAGACTGTTAACATGACAGGTACATTTGATCCTCCTGTGTGTGTGTGTGTGTGTGTGTGTGTGTGTGTGTGTATACCTAATTCACATTCACACACTGGAGGTAAATGTCGGTCATGTTAAGACTTGGTTTAATTTCACTTGAGACTGACAATAGAAATGTACAGATCTAAGATACTGGCCCAGTGTGAAGCCTCTTGTTTTCCAGGACATATCTATCCCTCGCTCACATCTAAATCAGGTCCCACTGCCCCCCAGTCACATCTGCATCGACTCCTCTAACTACCCCCATGCTGTTTCCCTAACCCTTAGTGCTCCCCTAGCCCTCGGTTCCAGTGCAGTATGAGAAAACTGTCCACCTTGCCTTTCAAACAGAAATGGTGGCCAGCTTTTACGGGTCGATTCCTTATTGATGCTAGGCAGGGGTGCCTCTGCTTTGCTCGCCCAGTGCTCTTCAGGTGACCCTACCTGACTAACACAGCGGTCTGGCTTTCAATAGAGAGGCTAGCAGAAAAGCAGGGAGAGGAACTACCATATAAGGACCTGGCCACTACTAGCAGTGTTGGAAAGGCTACTTTTCAAACTGCAATAGGTTACAGATTACTAGTTACCCTGTTACAAACTAGGCAGTGTAAACCTCACAACAGTACTTGACTCTACAGTTACACCTCATGCTTTGAAAACCACTGGCTTTCAGGAATGTGCATTGATTTGATTAGTGAATGAATGTGATATATACACAAACTTTTTATTGGAAAGAATAGATATTCAGATGTAACCCCTTTGTAAACCCCAACATTATGATTAGCTGCAGTTTAATAACACATTTTTTCCACAGTGACTGTAATTGATTTTGTAATTTAATAAACTAGTTACATGTAACTAGTCACTCCCCAACACTGGCTGTTGGCCATAATTAGAGTTGAGTTTGAGATGCTGCTAGAGAGCGAAGCGACCTTAGATGTCTTCCTAATGATGTCGGCAGGTACTTTGGGCTAGGACTGGTGCCTTGGGAGAAGAGGAAGGGATATCTGCGTGCCTGATTGTCACACTGTGATAAGCCAGAGGCTATTGTTTGGTGTATTTCAAAACCCGTGTTTGGGAAGAACTGTAGCTGTGTTATTTTCTTCAGCTGCAAGAAGAACCTTAAAACCTGTTTTTTGTTTTGTTTGGAGGATAGTTACACAGCCAAGTATTTCTGGGTTGTGTCTACATTGGTGTTAATAGCGGTGTTGCCTATAACTACTTTTGTCTGAAATCCTCTATATTAGATGTTTAGGCCTTACCTATAGATTGAAGCTGTGTAATTGTACATGTAGTTAGTGTAGTCTAACATCTTTGCTTCTCACTTTTTTTCGTTTCTTTCCCACCAGAGCGGTGTGAAGAAGTACTGCCAGTGGCAGAGGCTCCAGGCTCTAGAGTCCTTTCAGCAGAGGAACAGCGCCGCCTGGTTGAACAGGAAGAGAACACACTGCGTGAGCTTAGGCTCTTTCTCAGGGATGTGACCAAGCGCCTGGCCACTGACAAACGTTTTAACATCTTCAGCAAGCCAGTTGACATTGAGGAGGTAAGGCGCAAAAGACTTGCAGAGGGACACACACCTTGCTATAATCATAGTTTGGCTAGGCTGGTTTTAGGCATTGTAGGTATACAACTATATTTATATCTGTGTCAGGTGTCGGATTATCTAGAGGTGATTCGTCAGCCCATGGACCTGTCAACTGTCATGACCAAGATTGACACCCACAAGTACCTGACTGTGAAGGACTTCCTGGTGGATATTGACCTCATCTGCAGTAATGCTTTAGAATACAATCCTGACAAGGACCCTGGAGGTAAGGAAGAAAACTAAATGTACATCCATACAGTGGATGGTTTTCTGGATATATTGGTCACAGAGGCCTGTAAATTAGATCTTTGTTTATTGTTTAAATGGGCTATGTGTCTGCATGACAGGGAGAAACCTGTGTGAACAAAGATCCATGTTTGTGTACACATTTAAAAATGCAGTGGAAAATGGAAAAATGCTAAGAAAGAGCTTGTTGCACAGAAGAAAAAATTTCTTTTTACTAGAATTAAATTCTCCACAGCAATACCATGATGTTAATTGAAGGCTGCACTGCACAGTAGGCCACCGTTCAATTGATATGACCGTTTTAATTTGTGTTTAGATGCCACAGGTCCCTCCTCACAAGACTATAGCTGCCTAATAATAATGGGAAGCAATTCTCTCCCAGCCCAAATGAATAAATCATATGTCTTTGTATGCAAGGGCCTGGGTCATTTGTTGGAATGCAGGGTCTACAAATGATACACTAAAGAGGAAAAATGCAATTAGGCAGTTTAATAAAGAAGACTAACGAAGCCCCTCGCCTGTTCAGCCGGTGCGTGGCCCAGGGAATATGGCCCAGACCTCGCACAATTACGCTTCTGGGGAAGTTCTACACCAGCTCACAAAGTGCTGTGGAAAAAAAACCTCATTATCGTTCAGTGGTCTGGTCTCCTCGTCCTTCATGCTGTTTTTATTGTACTGTCCTCTGTGCACAGTTGTGTTGGCTTTCTTGTCCTTTACCTCCACACCTTGCTAAATGATGGCTTTATGTTAAAAGGGTGATATCTCTGTGCTCCACAATGTGTCACATATACTTTGTTGTTTGAGCGAAATAGCAGTAACAAGTTTTTGACTTATAAACAATAACAACACACACACACACACACAAGTAACAGTGTTGTATGTCAGCACATTCTTGTCTGTTCCAGTTGGGGAGGTCAGGCAGGGCCCGTGAGGGTGTTGATGAGCTCTCTGCATTCCACCCAGCTTTTGATACTTATTCCACTGACATGCATTTTTGCCCTAATAAATGCACTTCCATGCCCACACACTTAGGCGCACACTGTCAGTAGAAAAACACACAAACACACACGCATACAAATTGCCTCCATTGCAATTAGGCAGCCATCCTCCAATTAGACAATGGAAGCTGGCAGATTGCGACCCCTCTGCCACTCTCTGCCTGAACTACTCTCCCTCGGCCTGCCATAATGAGAGAAGGCCTGTTTACAGTGGGTATGCTTTTAGCCTGCCACTTCAGCACAGTCTTTATTTTCCCTCCATGGGTGTGGGAGCAGGGAAAAAAGAGGACTTAATGATACCGTCGTACATCTATGGACAAAGAGAGCTATGAAGATGTAAGGAGTCTTGCGTGGGAGAGAGACTGAGTATGCTATTTAAAAAATATTTTGTATATGTACAGTATGTGCCCACATTTGTCTTAAATAGGTGAAGTTGTTACATTAAGACTTTCATGCGCGTCACATTTTTGCCTGCTAACATTTTCACCAAAGCCAGCTCTATCCTTTCATTCAAACTGTGAGAAAATGCTACACTCTCCTTTCTCACAAGATGCAGTGGCATGACTATTGACTCTTTGCCTTACATACTGTACATGATAGGATGTGGAGGGCTGTAGTCAGGGGTTTGACGTTCTAATCAAACTGCTGATTACAGTCCTGCACAATGCAAAAATGTGGAGTGTACAAGCGCAGACACACACACAAAAACAACAGAGTTTTGCATCTCATGACATTGGTAATTATGTATAACTGTCTCCTCCTTTCTCAGACAAGGTGATCAGGCACAGAGCATGCAGTTTAAAGGACACAGCTCATGCTATATTCGCTTCTGAGCTGGACCCCGAGTTTGACCGAATGTGTGAAGAGATCAAGGAGGCACGCAGGAAAAGGGGTAAGAAAACGAAAGCGAAATGGAAAGAATGTTTTCCAGTCACTGAAAGAAGACACACTGTACCTAAAAGTAACGTCCCATCTGTTGAGAACCACACAAAATATGTACAGATCTCTGTAAACATGGAAACCTTTTGCGGGCCTGAACATCCTTGATTTATTTGATTTGATTTATTTATTCTTTCAAGCATGTAAAGACAGTTGATATATCAACACACATAATTTTACACATATCCAACAAATGCTAATCCAATATCAATTTGCTTATACCTAGTACATGCTTGAATGGAGTAGGAAGAAGTTAGACTTATCCAGTCCTACCCCATGACATCATCTTACCATCATTGGTTTGCAAGCAGTATCTCTACATAGATAATTCTCTTCTACACCACACAAGTAATATACTAAAGAATTATTAACAGAATGTTAACATTCTTACATAATTACATTCTTAAATAATTATCTTCTACACCACACAAGTAACATACTAAAGAATTAATACAAGGTGTTAACATTCATACACCACACCCACAATGTTCCATCTAATTAATCATTAAGCCTGTTCTTGCATATATCCTGATTGACACATACCTTTATATTTATGTTTAAACTCATCAATTCTAGTACTGTACTGTTTTTTATGTCCACACTTAAATTATTCCATAGTTTTACCCCACTTATGGAAATACAAAATCTTTTTTTGGTTGTACGTATAACATGAATTTTTAAATTTAACTGACCCCTTAAATTGTATCCCCCATCCCTTTCATTAAATAGTTTTTGAATTCCACCAGGTAATAAATTGTTCCTGGCTTTATACAAAAACACAGCAGTCTTATATCCCACTAAATCAAAAAATTGTAACAATTTAGACTGTATGAAAGCTACATTGGTGTGATCCCTGTACCCCATCTTATGCACAATTCTTATCGCTCTTTTTTGTAATATATACAATGGTTCATTTAAACGGGAGAATTAAATGAGTGACAAAAACAGCACTAAGCAAATAAAAGTACACTCATGCACACAACATGATTTATCTTCTTATTTTTATACAAGATGCTGACACAGTTACTAATTTTTGATAGTTAAAAAAAAACAAATCCAATAATACATCAGTTAAAACTGATTTACAGTTTAGGTTATTAGTCTGACTCTTGGTGAACTGCAGTTTTTTTGTTGGGACTTAGGAGGTCACAGTCTATGAGCATGCGATAACACACCTGCATGCACAAAAGAGCACACTTACATCAATAATCATGCGGACAGTAGGCAGTGTGGCTGCCAGGTTCTGAGGGTGCGGAGGTCTGACGTTTACAGGAACACATCCAGCATAAAGACATCCGTAGAAGGCTGCAATCAAGTCAATGCCTGAGAGACAGGTGGAGGATAAAGGTGGAGTGAAAATAAAAAAAGAGAGAAAACAATCTGAGCCTAACACTAATTAATCTGGGAGTAATACTGGGAAAGGAAGCTGAAGGCAAACCTACCAGGAGGATAGAGCAGCACTACGTTATCTCCGGTGTTGATGCTGCCCTTCTCAGTGAGCGCTGCTGCTATCTTCTCCGCTCGCTTGTGAAGCTGGACACAGGTCGCTGTTCCTACTGTTACACCCTGCAGGACAGGTGGAATTAATGCAAGATTGGGGTCAGCAGACACGCAAGGTTTAATTCATGTAGCAACCACTAGCAACTTCAATATGTGCATTGATGAGATGCTGCATTTTCCAGTGTGTGAAGAGCTCAGCACCTTGGCATTAAGAAGAACAAAGAGGACGTGGTCCGGGTCTGTCTGTGCCCTCCACTGTAGAGCTTCTGTCAAATACTGATGCTATAACAAGAAGAAAAATGTAATGAGTTGTACAAACTGCACATGTGAGGGTGTGCTTGAATAACTGTATCCATTATTACAAACACAACCATGAAGGGCTCGTACAGGGAGGGTCTGTGCTGATGGAAGAACTGAATTTAACAAGTAAATAAAACAAAATAAAGTGGCACATACCTCAGCAGACAGCTTTATATCTTGCCAATGTGCAAAAACAATTTACATCACATACTCTGAGCCAATCTAATGCTTAAAATAATGAACAATAACTTAGAATGTGAAAGTTATGTCTGAAATAAAACAAGGGGTGGCTACTTAAGGTATATATGTTGTAACAGAGACAAAAAAAAACAAAAAAACATGCACAGTTTTGCTTGTGTCACATTTTAACACAAGCACACAAACTAAAACCACAGTACACAAGTGATTAGAGCATGATGGAAATAAACAAGGATGTGAGGAAGGTGCATAATCCTTACCATCACAGTGGGCCACATACAGAGCTACATCCAAAGAGACAAGACAAGAGCAGAAAGAGAGAGGAGTCCAGATTTTTTTAAATTAAATCTATAAGACTGAGTTCTGCCTAGGCTTGAACCATTGCTGCACTGGCAGTGGAAAGTTTTCAAACCTCAGTGTTTAGGATCATAAGACACTTGAATAATTGGTGCTGGCCCTGTACAAAAGTTTCCTGCTCCTTCAGAATAATATGTATGTGGCTGTTTTCAAAATGGGAATGTGGCTAAAGATTCAGATCAGATTCAGAGTTAGTGGCTTGGTAAGACTGGGACAATGCACAAAGTCACACTACCTTCCGGACAAGATCCTGGTCTTCAATCATGCCAAGGTCCCTGCCTGCAGCCTGGGCAATCCTCTTCCCTGCCACCAGGTTGCCCACCATGACAGATGCAGGACCTACACCGACTACAAGAGAAAACGTGTCATAGAGACAAATAGATGGGCAGAGAGAGGACAGAAAAACATACAGAGGAAGAAAGGGGCAAAACTGGTGTGGGAGAGATTTTAAAGACCAGGGAAACCTTAATATTTGCCCCCTCAGATGTAATCCTGTCAAGAATGAACCATAGGTTTAATTTTTACCTTTCAGGAAAAATAACACAAGGAAAGATAATGTTTTATACTCTGAAAGTTTGCGTATAAACTTCTGCTATTGAAGTGAATTAATGATAATTTGTTTTCAGTCTTGACATTGCTGTTAAACTGCTCATCCGTGTAATACTTGCAGTTATTTTCAGAGTTCTTAAAGTTTTTTTCAGGGTCAAAATCATCGTCCGATTCATGACAATGTTGTTCAGTGTCTCCAATTGTGTTCAATTCCAGATCCAGTCCCTCAAAAACTATTAACCTCTGTAGCAAATCACTTGCCTCATTCCATACGTGGGTCATACTTGTTGTTGGTTCCTGCTACACTTAATTAGCATTTAGCTACTTATGATAAACACTGTCTGGAAACATTATAAAAGTACTTGATAAATGCCTTTTATTGTTTGCCCTGTCCTCTTTATCAGGGGAGAGTTGTTTCCATTATACCACTAGAGGAGTAGACTAATAATGCTTAACTTAATAGTATCATTTGTTTATCTAAATATATAAACATTTTGGACAAATACTCTGTCACTTGAATAATGAGCCTTGCTAGGCCACGTCGACTGTGCAGTTCCTCGCCTGTGCTCTCTCCCTCTCGTTGCAGAGGTCTTGATAGATCATTTTGGAGAAAAAGCAACGGTAGGGTAGCCCAGGAGTACTGGATAGAACAGTCAGTTTTTAGTTCAGAGTATGTGGCACAGGAAGGAGTGACGCCAGAGGCTCTAGTGTTCCAGACAGTACCTTCTGTGCTAGCTGTCTGCTTGGTGTTCTGCATCTTTCCACTCACCAAACAGTCCCAAGCAGCAGTGAATGGAGGTTTATCTAAATTAGTATTATGCAGAGAAAAACACACATTTTCGACACCGTTAAATAACTTGCTTAAACATTTATGTGTTGGGTTTAATATAAGTTGTCAAATGCCCGAAGTCATGTAATCATATGCAAATATTCCTG